AACCCCTGTAAGTGGCTGGCTGATGTGTAAATACTGTTGAGGAAGTGTGGAGTGCGATTCAAAGCCTGAGACTAGGAAAAGCACCAGGCAGAGAATATCGCCCAAGCCAACTGCTGAGGGAGGGTAGCATTTGTCTGCAGACTGCCCTATGTGACATCAATACAACTGTCTGGACCACAGGACAGGTTCTGCAGGATTGGAATGATGCCCCGGTGGTCCCTCTCTGTACTGATTTTAACAACTACTACAACTACTGGGGTATCTTCCTCCTCAGTGTGCCGGGAAAGGTTCTTGCAAGGATTAATCAATATCGCCTTGCCAGGCACGCTGAGGTGAGGCTTGTAGGGCCCCAAAGTGGTTTCAGGCTTGGACCGTCCGGCAAGGATGCCATATTCTCTGTCCGTCTGCTACAGCAGAGGTGTAGGGAATTCCAACAAGACCTACATTTTTGCTTTATTGACTCTGGGCTGTTCTTCGTGCTTTCAGAGTCCCTGACTCTCTGCTCACAATCATTAAGTGCCTTCAATATGGTGAGAAAGCCCAGGAGTCAAGAGCCATTCCCTGTTCACCTTGGGGTGTGACAGGGATGTCATCCGACTCCGACATTATTTAACATCTTTTTCGACCAGATAGTTTGAGAAGCTTTCCATGGATGTACTAAATGAATTTACATCTGGTATAGATACAATAGGAGGCTGATCAATGCCCGGGTGCAATCAAGGGATGGCTCCCCATTGGTCAACCATGTTATTCTATATGCTGATCTGGTAATATCGCTCACTCTGAGAAGGAGTTGGAGGCTCTCTTGCTGAACCTAGAGCATGCCACTAAGAAGTGAGGCCTTAGAATAGGGCCCACAAAAGCTAAGGATCTACCAGGGTCTTTTGAGTCATATGTATGTTGAACTTCTTTCCGGGATATCGGAGGTGGGGAAAACACTCCACCCCCTCAACTGTCATCAAATACTCCACTCCCCCCAGGAGTGATGGGGCAGATGTGGAGAGAGTAGAAAAGTTCCCGTACCTAGGTAGTGTTCTTATTGCCAGCTCCGATGTGGCAGCAGAGGTCTCACTCCGAATCAGTCGAGTGACTTTATCTTTTCATCAGCTACGCAATAAGTACTTGTACTGGGTCTGGCCGGTTAATTGGTCAGGGAGAATAAAAGATGGTTGGATGTGTGACGTTGTGCTGTATTTCATACGAAGGCCATACCATGTGTCCATGGCCACCTTGAAGCAAGAGGGCCCAGTTTGCAAAGAGGGACAGCAAGCGGGGAACGCGGCCCCCTTCACTTAGGCCGTGGGGCTCGTCGTCCCGTAGGAGCTGCTCACTTTTGACTCATGTGTATGCATGGTGGGAATTCCGCTTCCCACCACAAATACAAAATAAAACCAACCTGTCATCCCAATAAAGCTTTGTACCCGTGGCACACCACGGGATGGGGAGCAAAGTTAAGGATATAATGCATGGAAAAAAACAGAAAGGATTGGGAAAGGAAAGGGATGCCAGGATGGAAGTCCCAAGACGGATATAGAGGGGACGACTCAAGGTGAGCAGCAAGGAGAGAGGAGGAGGAGCGGCCGGGCAAGAAGAGGAGAAGGGGGAGAAGGAATGGCCGGGCAAAGATGTCGGGGATGAGAGGGTGATGACGATGATGAGAGGGGAGGAAGGAGAGGGAGACAGAAGAAAGCAGCGAGCAGGCATGAGCTGCAAGGAGTAGCAGTGTCTGTTTTCACAGGGGGTGGGGAGAGGGGAGGGTTTCAGAGTGGAGGTGGTCACACAGAAGTCACGTGATTTACAGGAGGCTTGAACTGGCTTAGATATATAGATGCAGGACCCTCCTGAAAAAGAGTATTGAGGACCCATTCAGGATTTCCTGAGTGAATAAAAGACATTATTAATTAAAGCACTACCTTCGCATTTGCGTGGGATATAAAATATGTGAAAAGCAAGCAATTTGGATTTCGTATGCACCCCCTGCAATGTCTATAAATAATATTATTAGTGTCGAAATAGCCATATGCTTTAAAGTGATTTCTAAGACTTGCCACGATAGCCCTCGATCTTCCACTCTCCTCTACTATTCAGGTCCTGGTTTTAGCGATGCAGTGCAAGGCACCTTCCAATTACACGATCATTTACAAATGGCACCCTATTAGATGTTCCCAGGAGTTTTCTTGAATTGTTGGCATCAAAACGTTAGAAATTCAGAAAGGCGACGATTTTCCAGGAATCTCCTTGGCAAGAGAAAAAATGCTGGTTGCCTTCATATGTCCAGGGAATTAATCGTTTGGGGGATCTACAGCATGACGGATGGACACTTGCGAATTATACATATGTTACAATCTTCATTTAGACCGGAGGAATCCGATGAGCCAAAAAGCTTTTTTTTCACGAATCTATAGTAGATGTCAATATATATAGATAGATCAGGGGGGAATGGAGTGGGTGAGAGTGGACAGCGCGCTGCACTATGAACCCGGTGACCTGAGTTTGTTTCCTGGCCACGGCTTACATCAGTGTTGCGTGATATCACGATCGGTACTGGACCTTCCTTAACCATCCCACCTTCACCAACCTGTATGGTCAAACAACCCCCATGATGGCCATAGAATGGGTGAACATTCATCCAGCAGTGGATTGCAAAAAGTGCTGACAAATTATTATTCGTTATTAATACTGCTAACAATTTTGAACGACGCCTAAGAGTCCCGCTTCTTTTGCATGAATGTGTGGGAAGCCAAGTTGCCCTTTTGAGCTTTTCCTGACCAGCAGTGGCCGTGATGGGATGGGAGTAAACCTCGTTAGGCAGCCACTAGTACTCAACCCTTTGAAAACTCATTAATTGGCTCTAATTAAACACCACCAGAGGCACGAAGGAATTTTTTTTTTGCTACCGTTTAACCATTTGATGTGGCTCAAATTATCATTAAACAACGCACGTGCTGTACATTAAAATTACTTGTCGTCTCCCTGCACTGCTCCCACCCTTCACTGCCATAAAAAAACAAAGACGCACACACTTTAGTTTGCAAGCGGCTAAAGTTTGAAATGGAATAACTTAATCATGACGGAGCGTGCGAGTGAATGAACCAACGCGAGATGATCGAGCTTCACCCAATTCTGGGTCATAGTTCGAATGAAGGAATGCAACTTTTTTCTTATGTTTACCGTTCGGATTTGAATGTTTCTATTGCCCAAGCTCTGTGGCCCTATATTGGGATGTTTGGTCAACTCTACTGAGTGTTTATACACGTGGGAGGAAACCGTGCAGATGGAATACCGATGGAAATGAATCTACTTGATGTACTGTTATACCCTGACAAGCCAGGAGATGGCGACCTCACAGCCCAGCGTGTTTAGGAGTTTGACGAATTTGCGTTGTCCACCAACACTCACTGCCTCCACAGTGCTGGATTACAGGCCACGTGCATGGGCACCAGCTCCCAGCTAACATTCGCTCACCTAGTCTAAAGGTAACGGTTTGTGTATCGCACGTGTTTTTGCGCAAACTATAAATAATCCATTCTCACACCCACAAGTCCACGCTTGCACGGTGAGCGTACAAATAGATTCACCGTTACCTGCCTCGGACACGGTAACGATGGGGCATTGAGATCAATCCACACAGATAAGCGCGACTGTTCGTGCCACCGCAGACCCGTCACAGATTGGATCGGCGCGGGGCGGCCTCATGCAGCAGCGGATAGACCACGGCTCACGATGGTGAACACGAGCATGCAGGTGTCCGCAGCGGCTGCGTTAGCGCGCATGGGCGCAGGCGGTGAACGTGCCGAGCGGCACGGGGGCCACAATCAATCGCACCGCACCCCCTCGCCCGCCCCACCCATCAGCATCCAATCTCATTTGGAGCAGTCTCACGAATGAATCCAGCACACACTCACCTCCTCAAATACCACACAACACGCACATTAGTAAAAAAAAAAAATACTCCTTAATATCACGTCGTAAAATTAAATCCTGCACATTCGAAACGTCCAAATTATGCATCCGAACGTAAGCGTGGTCTGATGCAGGTTAACGCTGAACTTTCGGTTTCATACACAGTGCATACATTGTATCGCATTGTGCAGACACGTGTAAGTTATAGATTAACACTGCGTGTACATGTGCCACTACATGTTTGCCATTTTCGACCAAACTGACACGCTGGACACCCTTTACGAATCAAGTGTTCCATCGCAACGGAATTATCCAGGTGAAATATGTTAATAAGTTAAAATGTAATTGCATACGGGAGGGGCGATCGCAATGTCCATGTCTCGCTTCAATAGGAGGCTGCAAAGCTCCTCCGGAAAAATGGACCCAGAGTTGGCGATCTCCCCTCGTATGCACTGCGTGTGGCAATACTATGACTTCTCAAGTAAAACGTTTTGGATTTTTAACGACATAATTTTTTTGGATTATTTATATTCCCCGATGATTTAAGAAGGCTTCATGCTTACAAAAGGGACCATCACCCATCACAACACCACCTTTGATGGAAAAAACCGCAGGCGTGACGCCACGTTAGTCATGTTACTTTCTGGCCGTCATATTTTCGGACTGATCCGGACCAAATCTTTTGGTCCGTGTATTGCACAAGCGCGTGCGTTTATGCGTTTACGTGTGTGCATGTGTATGTGTATGTCCTCGCTGCAAAAGACAAAGATCCCCTGTATCACCTTAATATATTGTTGAGGCCAGTGCTATTAGCTAGCTTCTATGAAGGCCGGCACGGCACATCAGCGGGTGATGTGGCCAGCACCACGCCTGACGGCCTTTTCTCCCCAGTGGCGATGTTTATACACCGCGCCAGGTGCTCATTTGAGGCTGAGTCGACCTAGGGGAGGCCCAGGACCGCTTTAGATAATCGTGACTGGTTTTAGCCGTGAGCGGGAATCAAACTCGTGTCGCCAGCTTCGTAGTGCAGCGCGCGAACCGCTACGCTCCCGTTTCCCCCCCCCCCCCACGCAAGCAACACGCGCGAGCGCTCGCACCTGTGCGCGGCGCGGGCGAGGAGGCCGAGTCGACGCTGTCCGCGTGCGGCGACCCCGTGTAGAATGCAGCCGACCCCGCCGCGCCGTCCGCCGGGTATAGCGACAGGCGCCAGATCCTCGTCGCGTCGAACAGCCGGCTGCAGCCCTCCACTGCGGCCCCCATCTCCAACTCGCCCGGCTCGGCCGCCGCCGACAACAGCGGGTCCTTCATGTCCTCGGCCGCGACGGATGATGAGGAGGACGAGGAGGACGAGGGCACGGTGGGGTCGCCGGGGCCATCCGGGTCGTCCGGGTGCTGCCGGTGCTGCTGCTGCTGCTGCTGGTGGTGGTCGTGGCGGTGGTGGTCGTGGCGGTGGTGGTCGTGGTGCACAGGCAGGCGCAGCAGCTCGGTGCGTACGCCGCCGCACGCGCCGTCGGCCAGCGGCAAGCGGCACAGCGACTCGTCCAGGTCGTCGGGGTCGGCTCGGGGTCCCGGGTCGTCCCCCGTGGGGAGCCGCGGGTCCTTGTCGTGCAGCAGTGGGCTGCGGCCCTCGGCATAGCCCTGCTGGTAGTCCATGGTGGCGTAGTCCATGGCGGTGCGCGGAGCCTGCGGACGGCGCGTGGGTTACGGTGGAGCGCAGTGTGTGCGTGGCGTAGTGGTTAGCATACCGCACTTTTAATTTGACGACCAGAATAACATCACTGGTGTAAATCCGAACAGGTTCTGGGCCTCTCCCATAACAAAATCCATATTTTCATATTTAGTTAATGCAACTGCATCACACAACGAGCTGCGAACTGCAACACAGAGGCACATACTGTACACGTGAATATGTTTTCAGCCAATAAATGAGGGTGACACTCTATACAATACAGATGGGACTTACAGAGATAAGCCCACACCTGCTGTACCGCCTTCGCCTGGCGAGCCAGGGTACAGCTCCTCGACGCCCACGGGTAGGGAGTTTCACGACATTTGTATGGTCCACCAACTTTCACTTCCTCCAGAGTGCTGGAGTACAGCCGTGCGCCACCTCCGCCGATATCAATATCAGGGTAAAGCGGATGGAGTAGTTGGCAAACCGCGCTTGAGTTCGACTGCCAGTTATGGCGAAAATCAGGCCCGAAGCAGCCTTGGGTGGTGGTCCTCTGCCTTTGTGCTCCTGATCGAGTTGTGATGAATCCCATGCTCTTACGGCAGGAACAAGCATATTCACGTGACAATTCCTGCCAACTTCCCGGCAAGGTTATGCAGCCATTTGCAGGTGTAGCTCATATTGCAGACGTGACATGACAATGATGACAATGATGACGATAATGACGGCGATGATGGTGATGTGGGGTGGAACTGCTTCAAAGTGTTGATTGATGACAAAAAGCCTGAAATTTCCCTTAGCCAGAGCAGTTCCACAAATTAGACCTTACATATGGGGCACCATTTGAAGGTGTTTATCTATAATGTAGAAAATATGGATTATTTTTTGGATAAATTAAAACGAAGCCATTTATTTTACCACGGTAAGGCCCACTGAGCCGTATATCTCTCTTTCAAAAGCGACCTGGCCACAAATTATATCTTAACGAAGTGGCTCATGTGGAAATTTATAGCAGCCAAATACTTGAATGCTCTGACAAGACACAAAACTGAATGGGTCATGAAAACGCCACTTCTGCTGAGTACATTCTACATGATGGTAAAGGTATTAGCATTTATCAAGAAAGGACAGATTATGCATATGTACTAATTGATTGCCATACAACAGCCCAACTAAAAAGCAACTTCATAATTATAGTGATGATTATCCACATGTTTAAAGTGTATGAAATGTACATTAGCAATGGTGGAACCGCCCACACATGTATCTATAGCAACACAAATAAACCACCTCTACGGGGGTCCTGTATTTATGCCATGAAATGCTACAGAAACAGAAAGCAGAGCTCCGTATTCACCTTCAGCCAAGTTTTTATATGGCGGTCACCAATACACTCCGACACCGTACATGTGAACTCCGTTCCGTGGCAGGCACCCGGACTCTAAACATGTGTGCCGGGCGCACTGTCATGTCAAAGGGATAGGGTGTTAAAACTAAAACTACTTCACTATTTTTATTGTACCAGGTAAGGCCCACTTGAGCTACATAGCTCTTTTTTATGAATGCAAATTTATAAATGTGGAGGGAAAAACCGGAGGACCCGAAGAAAAATCCACACAACCATGGGGAGAACATGCAAAATCCAAATATAGAAGTGTCAGGGCCGGGATCAAACCCACGACCTCCTGTATACCAGGCGAGGGAGTTAACATCTCACCACCACAAAATATGTGTTCCCGCCGTTTCCCTTCACAGCCCCCAATTGGCCCAGGAGGTCATGGTACTCGGAACTCCCGGCCACGGCCCCGGAGGAGGCTTGGCAGCTCACCACGAAAAAACTGAATCTCCTCGGTCAGAGGGGAGTGTGGCACCAGGGGCTCGCAGCTCTGAACTTGACGGGCCTCCACATTGAAAGGGCTAGGTGCGAGCACCGGGGGCCTAGATCCGGACGTTCAAAAAATCCCCGTTAAAAATCCAGGTGCCCTTCCGCATGGAGGGTATACAAACAGCACTGCAATCGATTCGGTGCTTTGTGCAGGAGAGAGAGGGGCGGTGGGGGACACAGCCGCACAGGCACTGTAATATAAATAAATAATTCCTTCGGTTTCTGGGTGTTCAGCAACGAATGGAGTTCACATGTACAGAGGCGCAGTATGTCGGCGACCACTGTATTAAGAATATAAATCATAAAATGTTGTACAACAGCTAAAAAAAAATCACACAATTCCTTGCTTGCCATTGTTCAACGCCCACAAGACAAACCCTCTGCTCGCTCTGCTGCAGTCTTAATCTCACGACCACCGCTCCGGAGGCAACGTTGTGCCGGAGGTTCAGTTTGTTCAGCGGTAGAGCTCCCGTGTGCGAGCACACGAATTTAAATCCCAGCCAGGGGTTCACTGAGTGCCGCAATCATCACGAGTGCCATTACTACCATCATCATAATTACTCATCATGTATAAACACTCATTAATGGCGTTGACTAAACATCCCAATACAGGACCATAGAGCTTGGACAATTTTTGGCAAAGATCTGGCTGCCTTCCCATTGTCTTGGGCTTCCCACATCTCTGTGAGAAAACTGTGATTATTACAATTTCTATGTCGTTTCGAGATACAATTACATGAATGACGATATATATAAAAAATGATTTATTATTTTCATTAGTCATCATCCCCCAGGAGTCACTAAATTCGCACAACCTGGTGCGGCTGCACCAGTTTCATTGGCAGGCTAATATAGCGGGGTTATTTTTCGACAGACTGGTCACTGTCATAGTGATGTGGAATTTCTTCCACGCGCTGAGACTCATCAAAACAGCCGACCACTTACCAGTCCTCCAAACAGCACAGAGACACTTGGATATATACACGGCAGACTCTCGATTATCCACGCTAATGACGGTGAGGACAGCCGCAAAGATTTCAAAATTGTGGATATTCCAAAAATTAAATGACTAATATAGGTATAAATTATTTTCAGTTAAGAAAATTGTGTTTGTTTTGTATCGACAGTTCGATGATGCGCGTGCTCAGCAGGGGCGGAGCCGGGATTTTCAGCCCGGGGTGACATTCAACAAATTTTAATTTCAAGAATGATTGAATAAGAAATCGGCTATACCCCACACCATCGGTTGGCGACACACTCTGACAATGCAGTTGCACAGAGTCCGCCAGACCGAGTGTCGTACACTTATTCGCAGAATGTTTCAGATTTTCGATTTTTTATTTTTTCGGGGGTGACAATTGTCTACCCTGTCACCCCCCTGGCTCCGCCCCTGGTGCTCAGTGAGAACGCTTTTCCTGCTCCCGCGCAGAAGACTCTGCCAAAGAAGCAGATTGCAGAGCCACGTCAATCAAAATCAAACTCCGCCCACTGTTGTAAAGATATCCAACTACTGTACTGTTGAGGCGATCACGTGAATTTCGGGTAAACCGGAGCACATATTTGTTCGGTTTAAGCACGTGACTTGTAATAAACATTTCCAAGAATAACATGGTATAACTGTGTTATTATTATGAATTTGGGCTTCAGGGAAAATCCATGAGTTATTAATTTACGTCCAAATCTCGGGTGCGCAGATAATCCGTAAATCGGATAAACCGCGCGCGTATGATCGGGAGTCTACTGTCTATTTAATCGAGTGAATTCATGGTGTCAGTCCAGTAACAATCATGTTAAATAATAACAATCATGTAAACATTGGTTTCTCACCTAATTTGACAAAATGTATGAATTAAAAAATTATAATATATTTCCCAAGTGACTAATATGTCTCTGTAGCAGGGTGCATGGAAAGGTGTAGCCCCAGGAGTATGGTTGAGGGTCCAAATTTTCCAAATTCGAAAGTTTGCTGCAAATTACTCAATTGTGATTATATATAGAGCAATCATTACCCCCTATTTAGTTTTCATCCGGTTAACAAAATAGCCTTGAAAGAGCATATTTGGAAGGGATCCCAGAAGTAGTTCTGAGACATCTGCTTTTATGGGCCATTCTATAAAGCACACAAGGTGTGTGCAAATGGACAATTGATCCTATGACATAAACAAGATAGCACAATCGGAATAAAACATGAAAACATTTTTTTTAATGATTAAGTATTGAATTGTCAATATTGACATCATTAGCTGCCATCACGCATCTGATAAGATGGTCAAAGGCGAGCAAATGACAATGCAATTTTTTGTCAGTGCCTGCGTTTTTTTCGTTATATTGTGGTCCACAACAGTCAGATTATCTCCTTTTCTATCAAAGTATTGGCGATCATCATCTACAACGGCAGTGCTGAGTCAGTGGTGGAAATGTGACATTCCAATGGCAGGGAGCACAACTCATCTTGAGTGCAACGGGTCTCATCAGATCAGTGCAGAAATATCCATCGTTGTACTGGACTATGCTTCAACGTCAACGCACCCCGTAATTGCCAAACCCACACTGGCCAACGTGGTGAAATATGGACAGACAATCCAATCAATTGAGACGGCATGGATTGACAAAAGTCTGTAAATTATCATCATCATTCATCGCACGGCTGATTGCACCATCTCCTCCTACACCGCAGGACAATTACGAAAACCCACAAGAGAGACGGCAGTCACCGATCTCAAACTGTGGACCATTTTTGTAACGCTACTGCCCACTTTGATCATTCGCCAGCCGCGGCATTTCAGATATTCACCACTGCTTATCAAAACCCTACCGCACACAAGAATAATCATCATCATCATTCATTGTACAGTCCTTTTTTTACTATAAAGGGATAATGGCGCGATGATGATGATAATGATGAGGATGGGGTTGCTTTCTTTGTCTCTCTAGCTGTGAATGTGCGGTTGTTTTACTCTGGCCCTGTCCACCTACCTCCCTGCCTGAGTGTGCGTGCATTTCTGCCCACAAGCGACAATTAACGCTAAAGCGACGCGACCTGTTCTCATTAAAACTTGACCCACAATTAGTGGCCCCTCGGGAATATATTAAACACGTCAATGTAATTTGATGGCAAACTTCAGA